CAGGTGGATCACAAGGTCAGTTCAAGACCAGTCTAGCCAAGATGGTGAAACCCTGCCTTTTCTAAAACTACAAAAATTAGCTGGGCATGGGTGGCAGGTGCCTGTAATCCCAGCTACTCGGGAGGCTGAGGCAGAGAACTGCTTGAACCTGGGAGGCGGAGGTTGCAGTGAGCAGAAATCATGCCACTGCATTCCATCCCAGGTGACAGAGTAAGACTCTGTCTCCAAAAAAAAAAAAAAAAAGTATTTTAGGAAGCTAGCGTTGAAATTGGGGCCAGTACCTCCCTATACACATGCACTGTCCTTACACTGGCTTCCTGTCCTTCTCGTCCGCTTTCAGGAACCTCCGCTGGCTGGACATCTCCGACCTCCCTTCCGTGTCCAACCCAGGCCTCACTCAGATCTTGGTGGAGGAGATGCTGCCCAACTGCAATGTTGTGGGGGTCAACTTGGCTGAGGGCCTGAAGATAGGGCCAGAGGAGCAGCCTCGGGACACAGACAGGCCCGTCCCTGCCTAGCCTTCAGCCCTGTCCCCATTCAAGCGGCTTTTCAGCAGACTGCATGGAATGTCTGGTAGCTCACCACACTTCTGGCTTCTGTTTGTCTTCACTCAACATGGGGGGTGGGGAGTGCCGCTGGCCGATCACAGGGAAAGAGAGTGTGAGGTCACAGTATTTATTCCTGGCTGCCCTTGGCTGACGGTCATAGCTCCTGTGCTCCTGTCACCCTGTCAGGCAGCCCTTTCCATGCCCCTCTTCTTCCCCTGCCTCTTTAGGCCTGGGGACATCAAGGCTCAGGCTGTCGGCAGCTGCAGGGAGCCACATTCACCTTGTCAGGAGACTCTTCTCAAATTGTCCTCATGTGAGTGTGCTGCCATTTCTTCCAGAGACCCTGACTGATACAGGGGCTGCTGCTAACACTTTACAGGGATGGTTCTCCCTGGTGGGGGGTGGGGGAGACGCTCTACTCACAGCAGGACGTGCAGCATCCTTGGCCCCACTCACTAAAGGCCAGCACAGCCCAGGCCCCATGGTATTGCTGGTTGTGGATTTACTGACCTTCAGTTCCACATTCAGCTTTTTTGGTCTGTTTTTTTTGAAAGGGGGGATCTGGGCCTTTGCAGGATTTTCCCTTTGCCAGTAGCATAAGCTTTGTCAGTAGAGGGCGCTTAACAGGCATTACAGGAGGAAAGGTGCTTCCTTCCTGGTTCCTGTTGGTTGTGTGCAGTGCACATGGCTTCCCCAGCACCCAGTTCATGAGGTGTCAGGAGGTCAGCAGCTGCCCCCAGCACCCTCCATCTCCCAGTAGTTGTGTA